AAGTGGAACCTACAGGAACTACAAGAAAAACAAACTTACAGCATTTTTGTAGAAAAAATACAGAACAGTACGGGCTAGTCGATCATAGCACCAGTGTCCATGAACTAGAAGTAAACGTTCTAAATGTCGAAATCGTGTCACAGCAAAATCACTAGCCATGACAGCCTGCATTCCTTCCTGTCCACTGATACCAATACCAACATCTGCTTTCTGAATCATGCTGACATCATTTGCACCATCACCTTAGGAAAGAAAAACTCTTATTTCTAATTAATTATCAAACTTATCACACAAATCCTATCGATACATAAAATATTCTGACCATGTTTCTGAAATAGTAATACACAAAGTTATGAATATTTTCATTTCAAAGTGAACATTATATACTTTCAACTTTTAATTCTAGTTGAGTACTTGTTCTTGTTTTTAAGAATTTTCTTTAATATTGAACACAGTAAATCATAGAATAAAAACACACTTCAAAATCTGCATAACTTCTTACAGAAGTTATGATGTCTCTGTCTAAATACTTCATTTTTAGCCCTTATGGTAGACAAAAGTTTCAAACAATCACTCACTAAATCATTCTTTTAGATTGAAAACTTAGAATTTTGTTATCGTTTAATCCTTATTTAAATATTTTTAACACAAGTTTTTTGGTAAAATAACTTTCCAGAACAAGATTGAATATTGTCAAATAATATACGGTACACACTAGTAACAGCACAAATGTATTTATAATTTCAAATTAAAATGTTTATAGCTTCAACACTGAACATTCATTTTATTTATAATTAGTGAGTCCTAAACAATTCTTCGGTCTTTTCAAGGTTTCCTCTTAACTGTAATTAACTGAAGTATTTCGGCTAAATTAAGCAAGACTAACAGAAGAATGAAATGAGTAGTCTTTTCAAAAATAATTATCTAACCAAGAATAATACTAAAACAATAATGAATTATCAATACCAATTTCTGATGAAAAGCAAAGAATAGTGTATAATATAATGTGAACCATATATATCTACTATATCCAGTGCTAAGGAGGCCTTTTCCCCAGAACAACAGTTCATTAGGATGCACGAGACATAGCAGTGGCTAAGACACTTTTATTAGCAAATCAATGAAATGCCAAATAAACAAGCTAGTCTTTTTGCAGAAGATAGACATACTTATTCAAAATTAACATTTTAATTTTTATATGTCATGGTGCTAACTATTGTAAGCTCCAACTTATTTTGAAGTAAAATTGCATTTTAAATTTCAGAAGATTTACAATTATTAGTTACTGATATGATATGTTTTTTTCTTCTTTGAATCAACTGTTAACAATGGTTACTCATGTCATTTTTCTAAAAATTCCTAAGTCATATTATTAATGTAAAACTTAAGGTGGATATCCTTAAAACAAAGGTGTTTTTTCTCTTTTCGACAAACAATGAGCAACAAAGGTCATTACACAAAGTTTGATGAAATGGCATGCCTTCAATTTCTGTAACATAGATTTATAAGATCCAATCAAAAATACGAGCTTAAAATCAAAATAAATTAAATGCATAGAAGCATGATGAATAAGAAAGTAAATTTTCTCATATGACTGCCAATTGAAATGTTAAACATAATATGTCTGTAGTAAAATAGGGTGTCTAGCTATGAAGATGTAACACTAATTATATGATGACTGCATGAAATAATAATAATAATAAAAAATCAAACTCACCAATTGCTAAAGTCATGACATTGAGCTCATCTTTGATCAGTTTGACTATCGAAGCCTGCTCAAAAGAAAGATTGCCAAATATGTCACAAATACCCATTCAAAAAATGAATTAATATTTACAAATTCAACAGAAACTTTGCAATATATGAAAAGTATTAAGAAAGAAATTAGATTTTATTTCCTGCAGCCTGATTATAAGATTACAACTAACATATATACATCAACAGTGTTCAGAAAGTGGACAACCTAACGTCACTTCTCAACAGTTCCTATTAAATATGAAGCATTTCTTTCATCACTTAGTGAGCTTCATAATGCCAATTTGATAAAATAGTCTGATGCAATGTCATGAATCCATTTGCACACAGCTGCTTTAAAACATCAGTTGTCTGAAAGTCTTGCTACTTACACAAAATCTTGAATAAACCAAAAAATAAGAAGTCACAGAGCACTAGAAAGGACTGTTTGCCTGAACTTATAAAATTTCAGTTAATATACTGCAAGTAATTTAAAGCTTAGTATCGTGTTGCAGGAGAACATCTATCATTTGTGATAGCGGAATACACTGATGGTCGAATTGATAGATACTGTTTTATAAATGATTATTTTATTATTCTTTTAGACAATATTTATTTTAGTTTTTAAGATAATGTTCCTTAAAATAAAATAAATTATAATACCTATATAATCCTTTTATCATACAAAACTTGATTACTGTAGTTTGTTCAAAAGCCATATTTCACACAGCTGTAATTTTGTAATTGTATTGCATGCCATCTGTTATCAAACCACACAAGTAACACCACTATTAGAAGATCAATATTGATCACTGACTTGTATTCAGCACGTAAGAAAGAAAATCACATTTCTAAATATCTTTAAATTAACTGGACAGATGTCAATATTTTTAACAGTGTCTTGTAATTTTACCTGTGCTTAGCATATACATAAAATAGAACAGTGTTTCTCAATAATAGTTAGTAGTTATAATAACTTGTGACAGTTCTTTTTTCTGAACATAGATTGAAAATAATGATACTTTGTTAACAGTAATACAATAGAACAAAACAATCTGATGAAAACATAATGAAAAACATATATAACATATTTTTATTGTTTGAACCTCATATATAAAAAATTATTTTGATAAAAGTTATCCTTTTTTTTTTTCTCTCTCTCTAAGTATTGTACTCACCATCAATCTTTGAGAAAACATGAAAAAAAAGATATCTTACAATTTCCTCAACAGAATAATATACATAAATTAGACTTTTGGAGACAATTCACTTTCAAAAATTTTTAAAGTTAAAGTTTAAATGCCAAAAGCTGGCAATGCATTGGAAACCTACAGGCCTAAAAACCCTTATAAGAATCAAGTTAACTACAGACATTCTTCTTAATTTGTCCATTGCAGCTTCAAATTAAAAGTGTGCAAAAGTCACATTTCAAGTCTTTCATTTCCAATAAGCTGCTTCCCAAAAAACTTTTTATTTAATACCAGAACAAATCAGTTAGGCTAGATGTTAACATACAAAAGAGTGTGAAAGGCTATTTGTATATACAGTATAATACATGTTACGTTTTAAATTCCGAATCTGCATAAAGCAAACCAACTAAAAAGCTAGCTATTTTACATTTCCACTTCAGTCATACATCAAATAAAACATTCCTAAATTACAACTGATCAAAAGCTTTTATTTTGCAGCCACAGCCTTTGGGAGTGTATGTTTTGTAACAACAGCCTAAAACTTTGCAGAGAGATTGTTACTCCAAATTTGCTTAGAAACCTATGGCTATTCTAAATACTCTGCTGTACAAAACTTCTCACTTTGATAGATAACACTGAAAGCTCCCTTCTTCAAAATGCTGTGTCCTCTGGCTCTTTATTATTAAAATATTTCTTTGTATAAATATCCTTCTTTAAAAAGGTCTATGACAAAATCCTCCAGCCATAAGCCTGCTCTAGCAGCACTACACTGTAAATCAATTGCAATTTAACATAAGCCAAATTTGTAGGAGCTAAACATGGTGACCTTGGTACCACCATTCACAAGTACAACAATGCATCATTGCATTGACAACTGTGAATTGTTATAGTAAATATCATTTAACCCTTTTAATTGAACACAACGTAAAAGCTGTGAAAGTACATCAATCATGATAAAAAAAAAAAAGAATAAAATGAGAAAAAAAAGAGAAATAAATATTATTCTATTTGATATAAATGATCAAAAATATTAATCAGTATGATGCAATAATGATGTATTTCCATATTTAAATTTCATACTTTTAATACTGCCTTCATTTGATACTATATTATTCAACATTCTTACCTTTTGTAGAGGTGTTGTGCGACAGCAAAGAACTGCACTGCAGTACTGAGCAAGTTCCACAAACAAGCTGTTAATATTTTTGTCTAGGATGAAAGCCAGAGTACGTCCATCTATGACTAATGCTCTTTTGTTTCGTCGATGACTGTTGGATCGATTAATTGGAGAATTACTATTGTTATATCTTCCAAAAAGGAAATTACCAAATAGCAGAGATGATCTGGACATCAAGACAGATGGCACGGGGGATCCAGTATCTCTTGTAACAACTTCTTTGGATATTTGGTCCAAATAAAACCTAATGGTGTCTTCAGCAGCTTCCTAGAAGACAACAAAACAAAACAAGTTTATAATAATTTACTTTTTATTCATCTATGAGAATCACTTGGCAACAGATATACATAAAACAGTATTGTACAATAACATTATTTAAAAATGATATATACTATATGACTGCACATATATAACAGCAAGATTCAATTTATCAATAGGCTGAAAAAATATAGATAGATGGTAGACATTAAACATTTTATTTCTCATTTCTAAAATACTTAATTAAAATTTTATACGAACATTACATATTCAACCACGAACTATCAATTATAATTTAATCTTTAGATTAGCAACTGGGTGAATACTGCATATCATAATCATGAAGTAGCTCAAAACTTATAACACTTTACCATTCTAGGTGTTTTTATGTCATTAAAAATGTCCTACTAGGAATGTAACTGCTATAAGCAAAAAAATTTAACACTCAGGATGTTGGTATATGTGTGTGCACACAAAACACAATAAGGCAGTGTTGGTGTTTTTATGTCATTAAAAATGTCCTACTAGAAATGTAACTGCTATAAGCAAAAAATTTAACACTCAGGATGTTGGTATATGTGTGTGCACACAAAACACAATAAGGCAGTGTAGGTGTTTTTTCTTCTTAAATCTTTGGAAGTAATCATTTTAATATTTATTTTCTGAAGGTCCCATTTTACTTCCCCACTGGCACTGAACATGCTCTAAAATTAAGAATCAGTTGAATAAAGTCATAACATCTTAAAAAATTAGAGAAGAAAATATCAGTTAAAAAAACAAAACAGAAGCCAAACAAATACAGGAAAATAAAAATATGGCAATTCAAAATAAACATTAAATTCAATCCAATAAACCAACACAAAAGAAAGAAAAATGCCTTTTTTTTCAGTGGCAAGACTAATTTTAAAGAGGATTAAAATACTGTTCAGCTCATCTTTACAGGTGAAAGCTTTTGTCAACCTAGAACATACAGAAGATAGAAGAACTCGCAAAGCTTAAAAAAAAGTTGACATAGTGCCACAATGTTCAAGTCTGGTTGTGGATTTGTTACGACTTTTAGTACTTTTTAAACTTGGCATTAGTTATATCCAAAATAATTCTTGTTAGGGTCTTTCTTTTTTTTACTTTCTTTAGAAAATGCTCCTGTTTAAATTTCAACATGCAAATACAAATAGCACTTGATAATGGCCTCTTTTGTTATTATGCATAACGTAAACTGATGATTAATATAGTGTGTGCACAATACATACTCACACACAAACGAAATTGTACCTTAATTTGTTTATTAATGTTTATCATCAACTAACATACACCATCCTAGTGTAATGTTTTCTCATAAGCACACACTTACTTTTATCATTATTGTTAACTTTATTTCTAGAAATTATACCAAACAATTTTCACTTTTATTATATGGTATCACATTAACTTCAGTTGCTTCATGAGATTTTCAAATTGAAGCTGTATAACTTTTCCTGATTTTCATAATAGTTACTATGAAACCCAAGTAGATTTTCGTCACATTATGAAAGCAATTGTGAAACCAATAATAAAAAAGACAAAGTATTATGCCATATTTTTAAAAATGGTTAGTATAAAATGGAAAAAAAAAAGGAAAGTGATTCTTAGATATTATTTATGGTAATTAAATATTAAAATAGCAAAAATTAACACACATTTATTTGTTGATTTTTTTTCAGGCCAGAGTTGAAATTTTTGTCTTGAGCAAGATTTTAAAAGAAAGTCAAATGAAAATACACTCTCAAAGAGTTTACAATACAGATAGTGCACTTCTACCTCAATCTATCATTTATAAAGCTTCATGATTCTTTTTGTATAGCTTCCAGATTCACTATCCATGAAATTATGTTTACCTGTTAATACTTCAATATTTACTTAATTCCTTTGAATTTAAGTAAAGTTTACTATTATCAAACACCTTGGTTCATATACCATGACAAAAGTTAAAAGTATGATGTGGTAACTGTAAAATCTTAAAGCATGGGTTTGGTACATACTTTGTTTCACACAAACAATTTTAAATACATACACATTAATTAAAACACAAGTGTAATTTATTTATTTTAATAATATATGTTGGAATATCTGTCATAGTCACACTTTTCATTGTATCACAATTACCATATTTCTATATCAGCTGATTTGTCTGTGTCATGGTATCACATATTTTTGAAATAGTCTTTTCTATTTATAATCTTTTTTTTTCTTTTAACAATGATGTGAATATGTTTTAGTGTAAAACTATCCTCAGAGTTCACACTTCCTTAATTTGTCAAAATCTCTGACAACAGAGGCTCTTTATCACTGAGTATAAAAATTATGAGAGTGCAACATGCAACACAAGGTCTATGTAAAAATACAACAATCTAACCAGCATAATACAAGCAAGCTGAATCTTCTCGACTAATTTATTTAATATACTTCTTAAAAATGAAAGCTTAGAACAAACTTATACTTTCAAATTTTTATAAAGAATAGATTTACCTTTGACCTTGCATTAAGAGTGACCACTTCCATGTCTGTTGAAAACAGTTGACACGAGTAAGCAATATTAACAGCTGTTTCCTAGATATAAAAAAAAACATGAATATATTAACATGTTCAAATCCTCAACAACATTATCATGACATATTACATCACAAAACAGTGTCAATTAATCAAACAAGTTTAAAATTTGAAGAAAACTAGAAATGTTGAATTTTGTCCAATCGAAGGTTGTCTCAGAGTGCAATTCTCAGACTCCCTTGAATTCCTAAATACTTCTCACTATTAGCTTTTATAACAGCACTAAACTGTCTTCTTTAATCCACTCACAATGGGTAGGTTAAAGTATGCATGTCATGATCTTTTACGGAGTTACATTCAAGGTTTAATTAAGCTACTTTATTATCAGTGTATATGAACAAACTTGGCATCAAAACGTATTCAATAAGCCAAACTACAATATTATAAGTTTTAAATTCTTAATTTTATAAGGAAACATTTTAAAAAATCCTAACTCTCCCCCAGTATGAGAATTGTGACATTTCTTCTCTAGGTCTTCCCCCTTATTTAAGTTATTTACCCTCCCCCTCTCTGAAATATGAATTTAACGTAAATTACATCAATATAATATAGATATTACTAAGGAAAATCTAATTTTTATAGCCTTCAATCTTATTTGTTTACAGAGTTAAATTAGAAAACCAAACCCAC